CACTGTGGAGAAGTATACAACAATATACCGCTGTTGATAAGTATACAACAATATACCAATGTTAACAAGAATACCACAATGTACCACTGTTAAAAAGTATACCACAATGTAACACTGTTAACACGTATACCACAATGCACCAATGTTAACACGTATATAACAATGTACCACTGTTAACAAGTATATAACAATGTAACACTGTTAACAAGTATATAACAATGTAACACTGTTAACAAGTATACAATAATGTACCAATGTTAACAAGTATATAATAATGTCCCACTGTTAACAAGTATACCACAATCTCCCACTGTTAACAAGTATACCACATTGTGGTATACTTGTTAACAGTGGCTTGTTAACAGTGGTACATTGTGATATACTTGTTAACAGTGTTATATTGTGGTATACTTGTCAACAGTGGTACATTGTTGTATCCTTCTCAACAATATACCACTGTTGAGAAGTATACAACAATGTACCACTGGTGAGAAGTATACAACAATATACCGCTGTTGAGAAGGATACAACAATATACCAATGTTAACAAGAATACCACAATGTACCACTGTTAAAAAGTATACCACAATGTACCACGGTTAACAAGTATACAACAATGTATCACTGTTAACAAGTTTACCACAATGTAACACTGTTAACACGTATACCACAATGCACCAATGTTAACAAGTATACAACAATGTATCACTGTTAACAAGTTTACCACAATGTAACACTGTTAACAAGAATACAACAATATACCACTGTTAACTAGTATACCACAATGTAACACTGTTAGCAAGTATACAACAATATACCACTGTTGAGAAGTATACAACAATGTACCACTGGTGAGAAGTATACAACAATATACCAATGTTAACAAGAATACCACAATGTACCACTGTTAAAAAGTATACCACAATGTAACACTGGTAACAAGTATACAACAATGTACCAATGTCAACAAGTATACCACAATGTACCAATGTTAACAAGTAAACCACAATGTACCACTGTTAACAACTATACAACAATGTACCAATGTTAACAAGTATGCAACAATGTAACACTGTTAACAAGTATACCACAATGTAACACTGTTAACAGGTATACCACAACATACCACTGTTAACAGGTATACCAACAAGTATACAACAATATACCACTGTTGAGAAGTATACAACAATGTAACATTGTTAACAAATATACAACAATGTAACACTGTTAACAAGTATATAACAATGTACCACTGTTAACAAGTATACAACAATATCCCACTGTTAACAGGTATACCACAACATACCACTGTTAACAGGTATACCAACAAGTATACAACAATATACCACTGTTAACAGGTATACCACAATGTACCACTGTTAAAAAGTATACCACAATGTACCACGGTTAACAAGTATACAACAATGTAACGCTGTTAACAAGTATACAACAATATACCACTGTTGAGAAGTATACCACAATGTACCACTGTTAACAAGTATACAACAATGTATCACTGTTAACAAGTATACCACAATGTACCACTGTTAACAAGTATACCACAATGTAACACTGTTAACAAGTATACAACAATGTACCAATGTTAACAAGTATACCACAATGTACCACTGTTAACAAGTATACAACAATGTACCACTGTTAACAAGTATACCACAATGTACCACTATTAATATTTGTATACCATAATGAAATAGTATTATAATTTCAATGCAAATATCTATAGTAAAGAACTGGAATGTTGACTTAGAGATTATCAAGTTGAAGAATTGGAACCCTGACTCAGAGGTTAACAATTAAGAACTTAAAGTCTAACTAGAGATTATAACTTAAGAACTGGACGCCCAACTGAGACTTATCAAATAAATTGGTTGACTCTACCTTTGATAAACCAACTACAAGCAATAACAGATACAACAGCAATCTTACAGATAACATACTGGAATATTTTCTATCATAACAATCTGGCAGCATGGGAGCCCTAGCCTGTCAATCTGTCCTGTCAATCTGTCCCAGACAACATCTACAGGGAAAAGGTCCTGTCTGTAGTACCTCTCGTCCTTACAATGCTAGTACTGTGTCACGCTGGTATTTATAAGTATCAGTGAAACCTTTGTGTAAAAATTGAAGCCCCCATTAACATAGGAAGAAGTATATAAGTATTAGGGACAAAAATACACTGATACAGAGTTCCCATATGTTCATAGTAGTCTAGAAACTTTTTATAGCGAGTTTATTAGGTCATGATATGGAAGTCTTCAGTAGCTGAAGAGTGAGGGTAATATATACCGGTAGTAACTTTACTCATTGATACAAAGTGGAATGATGCATAACTAAACAATGTAAACACAGCATCAGTGATAGACAGCAGGACTCAGCATTGTACATGTGTTATTACTCTTATCATCAGTACAAGCGTTCACTACAAAACCATGAATTATGCATTATGTACATAATTGCATGTATTAACAGTGGCAATTTCAAAGAATGAGCATAACTTTTTCAAACAGTAAAAAATCTGAATATTTCCAGAATCAGAAAATGATGCAGGCACTTTAATATACCTATAATAATAACAGGCATGCAATATACTGATATATATAGTGTATAGAAAGGACTATTAATTACAATGATGTTCTGCTGTATAATTAATATAAAACACAAAACCATGGCAAAGATTTCTCTAAACAGCTCTAACTAAACAGCAACGATTGTCTTTTCATAGGACTTTACCACTGATATATAGTCTGTACATGCTTTAACAATATTACTTATGGTATTTCCTGACCATCGTGTACCTACCAGCATGTGTTGTAGATAGGTATTCTTATATATCCACAATATCCTTTGAATTCACATATACACTGTGGACACTATAACTTAGAAATATTTGATAGCTCCTGTATTTTTCCTACTGACAGGGAATCACACCAGTACACAACCCCCCGGCAATCTATTCCAGGCACTGTAACCTCAACATGCCAGCCTCCGTACCTATACACTGATGCTGCTACATACTGTACAGCGGCTATCAACTCCCCCCTGTGTTTATAAATAAACCATTTGTGATATGTGATGAGTCTTTATCACAAAACCTAGGGGGGATTCCCTGGATTAGACACCGATGGACTTGGTCCCAGTGATCCCTGGATTAGATACAGATGGACTTGGTTCCAGTGATCCCTGGATTAGACACGGATGGACTTGGTTCCAGTGATCCCTGGATTAGACACAGATGGACTTGGTTCCAGTGATACCTGGATTAGACACAGATGGACTTGGTCCCAGTTGGACTAAGTCAGAGGTGTAACACTTTATCACAGTTGATCATCAATGATCAATTTGATATTTATGTGATCCAATTTAGTAAAATATTTGGTGGAAAAAAAAGTAATATATATTTGTTCAGGATTAAATTCAGTATTTTTTGTTTAGCTAAGTTTCATTGGCAGGTGGTAGGGATAAATTATTAAAACATTTTTGACACCGTGTTTACAGTGCAGGATTTCTGACTTTTTCAGTAAAATACTGGGCTACATTGTACGTTGCATTGGTAGGTCGTAGGACATTGACCTTTTTGACACTGTGGCTCAAGTACAAGATTATTGACTTTCTTACTGCTTTTCCAAAATCTGACATATATAACATCATGGGTTAACTGGCATTAAATACATGCAGTAATACACCCTTGAAAGACATATTTTTTATTTACCCTTACAAAAAAATGTAAAAAACAACCTTATGAATAGCTTAATTTATTTTGATTTGGTTTGTTTGTGTTTTACATCCTATAAACAGATATGGTCATTTAAGGCCGTGCCAGGTTTTGGTGGTGGAGGAAAGTAGAAGTTCCCAGAGAAAAAACACCTACCTACGGCCAGTACCTGGCGACTGCCCAGCGTAGGCCTCGAACCCGCGACCCAGTGGTGGAGGGCTGGTGGTATCAAAATGTCAGACGCCTTAACCACTTGGCTACCGACGCGTTGAACCTTATTTATTTTGAAACAAATTCTTGGGTGTTGAACAATTCTTCTTTCTATTATAAGAAGATTTGTATCAAACCTACACCATGACAGATAATGTCTGCCCAGGATCACAATATAGAGCCTTATGATCTCTACTCCAAGTAACACAATAACAGAAATATGACTTACAAAGCAGAATGATATCAAACCATATTTATGAAATAGAATGGAATCATGTTGAACCATATTTAAGAGGTAAAACAGAATGGAGTAGATAAAGTTCAACATACAAAAAAACAGTATTTTTCTGCAGGACTTTTTGGGGCCAATAATGAGACCCATTCCCTATTTTCTTCCCAAAATGAGACAAAAAGGCTCCATCCCAAATTAACGGAAAAAAATACTAAAAATTAACATTTGTTTCAAATTTGTACATGTATGAATGAAAAAATATCACTCTACTCTAACACCGAGTACAAGACATTACCCTTATAACACAGCCACCTCTAAATCAGATGTCAGCTTTATGGCACAGGCTATCTCTAAAGCACATGTCACCCCTATAACATGTCCACTCTAGGGCACACCACCTCCACAACACATGTCACTCCTACAGCATATGTGATCTCAAAATCACACGTCACCTCAGTCACCTCAACAGCACATATTACCACAGGCTTACAATCCTACCACATCCCATTCTTTGGTACATACACACACTCAGCTACTTAGAATTAATACTACGATAAATACAAGACATCTCACCTATTGTTTTTGTTGGTAAGCCACATGAAATACATTACTACCTCTGATACTGTTTATATCAAAGACAATAGATCATTTAATGACACCTTCACCCTCACACTGTTAACACCAGACACAATGTGTTACTTTATTATAGTTATACCCCACTGTTGCTTTATGGTACAGAATACAATGATACAGAAAATAAGACATGTGCATGCTGTAAGTACGGCTGCTGGCAGGATTGAGATGTGCAACAGTTACCATACTTACATTGAACACGATCACCAAATCAGCATTGCGTTGTAACAGTGTAATATACGCAGAAAAGATGCATGTGCGTTGTTGTGCCTCAGCCAAACACTGGATTGATGAGTGTATAGGCATCACATGACTAGGACACTGACAGACTCATTATCATCATCATCATCGCTGGTCTGGGGAGGGGGGACGTATCATCATCGCTGGTATGGGGAGGGGGGACGTATCATCATCGCTGGTCTGGGGAGGGGGGACATATCATCATCGCTGGCCTGGGGAGGGGACGTGTATCATTGTCTTTGAGTCTGGGGACGGGGGCTCTGCAGGAAGAACAGGTCCTCTTTGTGATCTGTAATTATTGGCAAGAGAATGACAGATCAGTGCATGTTTTCAAACATGTGCATGCCGTAATTGAATCGGCAATTTTTTTCAAGATGTAATATAATAAAAAAAATCTGGATGAAATGAGGTATGTAAGATACACTGCCATGTGAGCACTGCCTGACCTAGTGTGTCTGGTGAATTTTCCCAGGCAAGTATTTAATGCCTTATCACTGTGATCACTTCTGCAGAATCAATACCATACCTCATGATCGTTCACTGATAATAGTTTTCTCATATTTCTCGCACCTCAAATGCCAAGAAGGTATGCTAGATGCATGTGATTTTGTCATCTTAACTACCTTAATGTAAATTACGTTGTATCTACTTATTATTAATCAATGTTTCTATAGCCTACGTATCCCAAGCTACACATCATACATATTCATCCCTATAAGTATTAATACTTTAATTCCCCAAAATTTATACTATTCAATTCTTTATATGGTTACTTAACCATAACAAATCTCAACTTCACTATCCTCTTTTGGCTCTTGTGGCAAACAACGCTAAACCGAGTTAAGGATATTGCTAGCTTGTAATCTTCATCTTCTTCCGGAAGTATATGTTAGTAAAAACATGTCATCAATCTATATGAGTTGGCCCCAGTTTCATGAATTCCCTTTAGTTTTAGTTAGGGATTACTGTAAAACTGTAACTACGCATTTGAAACTATTTTTCATGCATGACTATAGCCTTGAGAAATCATTTCCGAAAGGAAACCATGCATATATCTCGCAATAAGAATAAGAATAATGAGAAATAATAAGGATAAAATAAACAGCATACAATGAACAACAGTGTCCTGAGTGTAAAAATTCAGTGCAGATTCAAACACTGGATTTCTAATTTATTTACCGTTGCTCTAACTGATTGAGCTACCTTGTCAACGGAAGCGCCGTGGTCCAACTGTGATATAGTTATATCCAAACGTAAGTTAAGGGGAGGTGACTGTATATAGGAGAAAACAGTGCAGTGGGACAGGGATCCATAAAGATTTATTACTATCCAGAAATTTTGTAAAACAAACTAGAAGTGTGTCCTTATGGCACAGATGCCCTACTCTCATACTTTAATTTAACCGTTTTTTTGTGTGCCATGAAATACAGCCACCAATGGCCCTTTGTTATGATAAAAATATGATGACTTAAAATTCACTAAATGCATAATCAAAGATAACTCAATACTTATTCCGTGTAAATATAGTTGCAAAATCTTTATGAATTGGCTATATATCGCTAGCCTCCCGCCTGGGAAATTTCCTTATTTTCACTTTACATTCATGCATTGTCAAAGATATGTGCACCTATTTCTGCACATCACTTCCGGTCGGAACACACACGATAGCTGCCGGTGAATGATAAGTTACATTGTTCAACAGAATGTTAGTTGGTATTATATAAATACTAGTTTATTGTATACATGCACTCAATGGTATAGCAAATATACTAAAACAGCAGTCAGGAACAACATTTCTGACAGAGAAAAACCAATAAATATTGACCTACATTTTGTGACAGTTTTCGGGTACAAAGATTTGCTAATCTGATAGTGCTCGTAACTGAACCGCAACCGGTAACTTGGTTACCCGTTCCGGCCCTAATTTTAACAATATCTGGTCTAGAGCCATCCTTGAACTAGGAGGACTTAATTTTGTGTAAATTGATGGTAATTGTCCCCTGGGGGAGAGGGGCTGCATGATATTGAATAAGGTGAATAGAGGTAAATTTCCATACAGAAGAAGGGATCTAAACCAAATTTGATGTTTATATCTAGAGTATCCTTGGCACATTACGATTAAATGTTGTATAAATCATGCCCCCCCTCCCAAGGGGAGGTAATGACATTATCAAAGTTCTAGGTGAATTATTTTCTGATCAGTTTTGCTTTGATTACAGTAACTTACAAACATGGCCTCTTTGCAAATAGTCTTTTCTTGATATTTAAATTATCCATTTTTTTATTCATGTACCGTATTTGACCTATTGATATGACCACAGGGCGCAGATGATTGAGAGAAGGGGCGCCCTTATTATATGAAGTATTGATGTATTGTTACAGCATTTTCCTTATATGAAGTTATCAAATAGGCAATACAAGCTATGGAGTATGCCTCCTTTGTACCCATAGCAGTGGAGATTATAAACTGTACATTTATACACACTGGTCACATATTGTATCAACCATTTCAAATGTAAAAGATGTGCATTGATGAGGTTGCCTTACAAACGTCAAACATTAGGTAATTTCCCTTTAGCTCAACGGTAGAGTATCGGGCCGGAGAGCCAAGGGTCTCGGGTTCGAGCCTTAGCCACGGCACTATCTTTATCACTTATTATTCCTCGTTCTACCTACAAATTGGTGCTGTTGACCCTCCCTGTTCAAGGTACAATGTAGGAGAACACTTGGCAGGGAGTCAAAGAACCTGCATGGGTTGGTGTCTGAAAAAAGTGGGGAATAGTGTAAAAGATGTGCATTGATTAAGTTGCCTTACAAGCGTGAGCTGTAGGGAATTTCCCTTTAGCTCAGCGGCAGAGCATGGGCCTGGAGAGCCAAGGGTCGCGGGTTCGAGCCCCAGCCCTTAATATTATGATATTTATCACTATTCCTTGTACATGTATGTACTAAACAAATACAATTGTATAAATTTAACAAGCTAGGCAATATAAGGCTGTAGGTTTTATCGGGATGGGTACTCCCTCAACGTTCTGAGGCAGCCTAGAATAAACAACACCTACCTGATTTACAGAGATATTAAAACATCGTAATTAACTTAAACGGAAGTACATAAAGTTTGATAAACTGCTGTTTGTTCTTAAAATTTTACCAGATAAACGAATATGTCACCAGAGAGAATGAAATTTTACCAGTCAGAACTGACAATCTGACACCACTGGCAAGGACTGTTTACTGTTATAACATTATTAATTGGAATATGAGCATAATTTCTCTTTTTGCCTACCACTTTCTTTTCTAAACTGGCTGCCGGATCCCTTGATTATCATTTCAGTACACTTGCAAATTTGAAACAGACAGCTTTCCGACTTTCAAATGTCTTATTTCCACAAAATGAAGAAAAAATATGATTTTCCATGCATACACAACTGACAAATCTCGGTTAAATACAAGTATTTTTGTGTGCAACGGCCCTGACCTTACTGTCACTGTGTCAATAAAAATAAACTTTTTTTCTTCCCGGGCACTTTTTGAAAGGTGTGCCGTTTATTCCCTTAAATTTGGTATGAGAGTAAGTCATTTACCTGAAAGAATCCTTCCCATGATGTCACTATGCACTTAAGTACTACGTCGTCAACTGTCACACACGTGGACCATCCAATACACAACTTGTGCGTCCCATGTTTATTTTGTTTCCCGGACCCTGACCTCGGTTCATTTTAATGTCGTAAAATATAACATTTTGAACAATATCCGGCAATATCCCTCATTGCGAAACAGACTTTACCTATAGTTTTATCTGTAATTTGATATTCATATTAATTTTGAGGTGAAATCAAGCAAATCATGCTAAATAAATAAAATACTGGTGTCGTAAATGCACATTTGTTTCGTTTTTGGTCGTTGATGGTCAAATAAATGTTTGAAAGGCAGGTATTGTTGATATGTAATTCAAGTTTCTGTTTGACATTGAATTGGAAGAATTCTAACGGTCCTGGATTCATTTAGGGTAAGTAATTTTCATTTAGCTTGCTGATTTGAGCATCTTCCTTGTGATGCGTCAATTGCAGGTTTGTTGGAATGTCAGTGTGTTGTTTCGGTTCAAATATGCGCGCTGTATATGACGGAAAACGGTCTTTAGTCTTGATCAACAATGTGGCCATAGGTGATGATGACCCCATTGCATGGGGGTTAGCAGGTCACTAATGCAATGGTGCGATCTATTTTCTGTCATTTTGATTACTTTGAAAGTTGATGTCACAGTTTCATCATAGGTTTTGTCACAAAACTTCAAGTCAGTTTAGCATTTTTTTAATGTTAGTGCAATAGTAAACAGTGTGAAAAAGTCAATTATGAAGTTTCTTTCATGTATTTGTAACTTGTATAAAAGTGTAACGTGCAGGGGTGTCCTTACAACCCTGGGTCCGTCCTTAGTATATACTTGGGATGTACTGTACTGTAAACTATCCCGGCGCACTGGCTTGATCAACGCCGTTGATGAAAGAGAAAGAATTACTTTATGATACAACAACAATAACAATATCTAATTTATACTGAATCAATATTATGTGCACTATGATTGTTAATTGCAAGGTAAATATATATATAGAACAATAACTAATAATGCACACTCCCCCCTGATCCTATCGCTGGACTTCACACAGAGCAACGGCGTCCACCCGCGCAGTTGTCAACACAGCGCAACGGCACTTATGCAGTGCCAAACACCTACACTTACTCAGTGTTCTAGATAATACTGGGAGAACAAATGGCTACCCAGAGCCTTGTCCAGGCTCTGTTGCCAGTTGTTCCGTAGCACCTTTATTCCGGGTGTCCCTACTATCCTATATAGGATTTTAGTATTACCTTTTATCTTCGTCGTGGTAAAACTTCCAGCTTCCAGTGAATCGTCGAAGACCGTCAATAAAAAGCCTAGCTTACTAGTCTGTCGCTGTTTGTATACCAATGGACTATACTATCTCAGGGTAAATCAGGTTATTCCATTTCCCTGACTTCTAAGTCACAAGTTTGTTTGACTATAATGTCCCAATCTATATACAAATAACAAACACGCTAACTACAGTGATCTATACTTTAATTGAGGCACACGAAGGGGAAATTAACATGGATCAAAACATCGTTACAAAAGTACACTAGGACTACTGATAGTTCTGATTAAGAATAACACTGTAATCCACAAGTCATGCACAGTCAGTTGAATTTCAGGTAAAGGAATCTGTTTATAGAATCCACTTGCATATTTCTCTGACAGTGGACATACAGTTGTACTCAGGTCTGAAATGTATGCAACCCCATCCTCAACACTCCAGGGGTAAGGCTCACTTACGCGCTCTGCACCCCTGGAATATGTCATAGCAAAATGGAAGGCTTGGTGTGTTCCACCTTGTTGATGAAACAAGAAGACTAGAATGATTCTTTGATGTACATCAAAAGAATCTTGGGTCACCTAATACTAACAGTAAAAATTGACAGGCTTTGATGTTGGGTGTCGCTCCTTTGTAATCTTCAAAGGACAGGTATCAGCTTAGCCATTGGTCGGGTTATTTTACCTGAGACCAATCAAACAGCTATCTCTGTGCCGTCAATTTTGCTTTGACATATTCCAGGGGTGCAGAGAGTGTAAGTGAGCATATTAAACCCCTGGAGTGTTGAGGATGACACAACCCAACACATAACTAAAAACTCTTTATTGGGATAACAGTTACAATAACACTTTCAAGTGCGTTGTAAAGTAGCTGTAAATATAGTGATATGGTTTGTCATTTTAACAAAAAGTTTGATGTCAGCATCAATTATTTTTATGTACAAATGTACTTCATTGTATTATTTATTTGATTTTTTTGAAAGAATGACACCCACTTTCATTCCTTATGCTAAAAATAACTTTATATGTTTTCATTCCAGTATCTGTTGCCCAAATGCAGGATAGTTACCTATGCATGGGTTTTCACATTTGATCTGTTTTGAACTCCGGTTCTATTCTTTTATTTTGGAGCTGATTTGGATTCCTATTTTTACCCCATGTAAATAAATCTCTTTTGAATTGAAACTCAATTTCCACTGAACTGATTTAATGGAAACTTGGTTGGAATGATTAGTGCATTGTCCTCACCAGTTCTTGTTATTTAGTGCCAGTTTAAAATGCAGTATGGCCACCGTGACAGCCATTTTGAAATAGAATTTAAACTCAAATTCCACTGAACCAATTTCTCAAGACTTTGAGAATAATCAGTGCATTGTCCTAACCAGTTCTTGTTAGTTTAGGGCTAGTTTTAAATGCAATATGGCCCATGACCATGACATGTACAGCCATTTTGAAATAAAATTTAAACTCAAATTCTACTGAACTAATTCCTCAAAACTGGGAATGATCAGTACATGGTCCTGATTAGTCCTTGTTATTTTGGGGCGATTTGAAAATCCAATATTCATAATTGCCACCACGGCAGTCAATTTTGAAAATCAGTCTAATTCTACTTAATCAATTTCATTTAAACTTAGTGGAAATGATAAATGCATGGTCTGACCAGATTGTTGCTTTTTTGGGGACTAGGTCAATCCAGACATGTATTGTAAAAGACAATTTTAAAATGTCAGTATGAAAAGAATGATTATTGTGATGTGTGATAGCTATATAGAGAGTAGTCCATGTAGTACAATGTCTGTTAATCTTAGGTATCTCATGTGAGCATTAATGCCTCTTGTGCCTCTTGTTTAACTCATTCACCCCTTCATATCTAGACTGGACTTGCCCAGTCTTTGATTTGATAAAGTTCAAATGAGACTTTAGGGGTGAATGGGTTAACATGGTATGTATAATTCTTGTTTTCAAAATATTTCTTTAATTGAAAATGACAATATATGTATTAACTTACGGTGTGCAATCAAATTGTGGCATTGTTGGAAAATTCCATTTCATGATCTTTTTTTCATGTAGCTTGTCCCAATAGAAAATGTAGTATATGTTGTGCAATAAGCGACTCGATCATCTTATTATCCGCTTTTTGCAAATGTTATCAATTATGAGATATATTTACAGTATTTGACTAATTAAATGATGCTATTTTACTAAAAATAATCCCTGTAAGAAGACATTTTTTTCATTTCAGCAATATCAATTGAATTTTCCTAAAGAAGCCTAAAGGTTTAAAAAAAAATCTTTGCATAATGCAATACGAAAAACTGGACTTTAATTTGGTCAAACTTTGTTAGACTTGATGTTTATCGCACTGCCTACAGCATCATTTTTTTTTTTTTAAACAGCTGTATATAATGTTGCATGAGACAAACAGACAGACCAAAGCACGATGACGATGGCTGGAGGTTTCTGTGAGGTTGACTTTGACGACCTACAGTTCTTCGAAAAATGCGGAGGTGGTACTTTTGGAAGTGTGTACAGAGCCTTATGGAAGTCACAGGATATGATCGTAGCTGTCAAGAAACTGTTGGCCTTGGACAAGGAGGTATTTACTTCAAATTATTCCTCCAGAAATCTTTACTTTTTTGAAAGTAGAGTGTACAATTCATGAAATGCAATACTTGTATATGTCTGCTGAAAACACATGATTAATTCAGCAAAGGACATTTGTATTATGCAAGTTTCTGTAAGAGAATTAGAAATTCAAGCAGGGGCTTGAGCTGGGTGTTACAATAAAATTGCATACATTTTTTTATTTATTTTTAAATCCCTGATACTCCAGGGGTTACGCTCACATTCGCTTCTTGCACCTTTGGAATAGGTCATGACAAAATCGAAAGCACAGTGTGCTATGAGACGAGAAAATTAGTTTGATCCTTTGAAGTATAACAAATTAAGATGATCACTCGTGTAACAGTAAAATTGACTGGCTTTGAAGTCAATTGTTGCTCCTCTGTAATCTTCAAAGGAGAGGTAACAGTCTATCGATTGGTCATTTTTTTTTATCTGAGACCAATCAAATAGCTAGTCACATACCTTCAATTTTGCTATGACATATTCCAGTAGTGCAGAGAGCAAAAGCGAGTGTAGTCCCTCAAGTATTGAGGATGATCATTAAGGATCAAACACAACTGAAGGATGTATTCCTGCACCTTATGTTTATATGTATTCCTATATGTTTCAGGCGACAGTTTTGAGTGTATTAAGCCACAGGAATGTGATGCAGTTCTACGGTGCAGTGGTAGAAGAGCCCAACTTCTGTCTGATTACAGGTAAACATAGCACAAATACTCACTAATTAGTATAAGCTTGCATATAGCACCATTGTCTAGAAAATATTTGTGTGAATAATTAGATCATTTACTGTTCTCAACAGTTAGAGTTTAGACTATTTAGATTTCCAACATTTTGGCCCCTGGCATCACTGATGAGTCCTAGAAGGACAAAACAGCTGTATGATGCAGTGTAATTCATTTTTGGCGTACTGTATTAATTACTGATTTTTAAAGAACTAGGCCTAGGAGCAATCACCTGTGTGTGTGTGTGTTAGGTTCAGTTTTCACCTGTGTGTGTGTGTGTGTGTGTTAGGTTCAGTTTTCATCTGTGTGTGTGTTAGGTTCAGTTTTCACCTGTGGGTGAGGTTCAGTTTTCACCTGTGTGTGTGTGTGTGTGTTAGGTTCAGTTTTCGCCTGTGTGTGTGTTAGGTTCAGTTTTCACCTGTGTGTGTGTGTGTTAGGTTCAGTTTTCACCTGTGTGTGTTAGGTTCAGTTTTCACCTGTGTGTGTGTTAGGTTCAGTTTTCATCTGTGTGTGTGTTAGGTTCAGTTTTCACCTGTGTGTGTTAGGTTCAGTTTTCACCTGTGTGTGTGTTAGGTTCAGTTTTCACCTGTGTGTGTGTAAGGTTCAGTTTTCACCTGTGTGTGTGTTAGGTTCAGTTTTCAGCATGTTGAAATCCATTGTGTCTACAGGTACACACACTTTTATATAGAGGATCTCACTTGAGTCTCTCCTATAGATATCAACTTTATAAAAATATGTCTGGCAAGTTTCATGAAAGTCAGATAGAAAATGGCAACAAATTTATACAAATATCATTTAGCACATGATTTACCTCATTATAAAAAAGTCACAAATGTGATAAAAATGAGGAGGAAACCGAGAGAACCCGGAAACCCCCCATCAACTAGCTGTTGCCAGTACCTGGCGACTGCCCCATAATAATGAAATTTTACTGTAATAATTTTAGTCCCAGTATGAATACATAAAACCAGGACACTATTTTGTGAAAATATTTTTTCCAGTTTGAGTAAAACTTAAGCCTGACCAGAAACTTTTTTTTCTTTCTCAAAATGTTGCAACACTGTTTGATAAAGGATTTTGGTGTTGCAGAGTATGCCACTAATGGGTCCCTGTATGCCTATCTACAGAAGCCAGACAACTCTATGGACTTCCAACACATCCTAAGATGGGCCCGCGAGATAGCTCAAGGTAATGGCTGGATATTGACTCAATTACTTTAGAATATTACAGATGACACTTTCATCAGTGACTGAATGACTAATGTTGCTGTTAGCATTTGAGTCAGTGACTCATTGACTAATGTCACTGTAAAATTGGAGTCTGTGACTCAATGATTAATGTAACTATTATCACTAGAGTCAGTGACTCAATACTCAGATGTAATTGTTAACATATTAGTTAGTAACTCCAAGACTAATGTTACTGTTAACAGTGGAGTCAGTGACTCAATGACTAATTTTCCTGTTAACAGTGGAGTCAGTGACTCAATAGTCAGATGTTACTGTTAACAGTCGAGTCAGTGACTCAATGACTAATGTTACTGTTAACAGTGGAGTCAATGACTCAATGACTAATGTTACTGTTAACAGTGGAGTCAGTAACTCAATAGTCAGATGTTACTGTTAACAGTGGAGTCAGTGACTCTTAACAGTGGAGTCAGTAACTCAATGACTAATGTAACTATTATCACTAGAGTCAGTGACTCAATACTCAGATGTAATTGTTAACATATTAGTTAGTAACTCCAAGACTAATGTTACTGTTAACAGTGGATTCAGTGACTCAATGACCAATGTAACTGTTATCACTGGTGTCAATGACTCAATAGTCAGATGTTACTGTTAACAGTGGAGTCAGTGACTCAATGACCAATGTAACTGTTATCACTGGAGTCAATGACTCAATAGTCAGATGTTACTGTTTACACTGTAGTCAGTGACTCAATAGTCAGATGTTACTGTTAACAGTGGAGTCGGTGACTCAATGACTAATGTTACTTTTACCACTGGAGTCAGTGACTCAATGACTAATGTTACTGTTAACAGTGGAGTCAGTAACTCAATGACTAATGTAACTATTATCACTAGAGTCAGTGACTCAATACTCAGATGTAATTGTTAACATATTAGTTAGTAACTCCATGACTAATGTTACTGTTAACAGTGGAGTCAGCGACTCAATGACTAATGTTACTGTTAACAGTGGAGTCAGTGACTCAATGACCAATGTAACTATTATCACTGGAGTCAGTGACTCAATACTCAGATGTTACTGTTTACACTGTAGTCAGTGACTCAATAGTCAGATGTTACTGTTAACTCTGTAGTCAGTGACTCAATAGTCAGATGTTACTGTTAACACTGTAGTCGGTGACTCAATGACAAATGTTACTGTTACCACTCGAGTCGGTGACTCAATGACCAATGTAACTGTTATCACTGGAGTCAATGACTCAATAGTCAGATGTTACTGTTAACTCTGTAGTCAGTGACTCAATGACTAATGTTACTATTAACAGTGGAGTCAGTGACTCAATGACCAATGTAACTATTATCACTGGAGTCAATGACTCAATAGTCATATGTTACTGTTAACTCTGTAGTCAGTGACTCAAATGCTACTGTTAACACTGGAGTCAGTGAATCAGTGTCTGAAATGTAATGGTTAACATGAGTTAGTGACTCAATGTCTCAAATGTAACTGTTAACAGTAAAGTCAGTGACTCAAATGCTACTGTTAACACTGGAGTCAGTGACTCAGTGTCTGAATTGTAATGGTTAACAAGAGTTAGTGACTAAATGTCTCAAATGTAGCTGTTAACAGTAAAGTCAGTGACTCAAATGCTACTGTTAACACTGGAGTCAGTGACTCAGTGTCTGAAATGTAATGGTTAACAAGAGTTAGTAACTCAATGACTCTAATGTAACGGTTAACACTAGTCAGTAACTCAATAACTCAAATGTAACTGTTAACACTGTAGTCAGTAACTCAATGACTCAAATGTAACTGTTAATAATATTGTCAAGGACACATTTATTTCCTATGCATACTTGAGTTACTGCATTTTTTCATCGTACGGATATATAAATTAATGACTCAGTCATATTTCAGACTATGGATTCATACAATATAGTATTTTCCTGTTCTGTATAGGAAATGTTCGAAACAAAAATTCTTAATTTATATATATATGTATTTCAGGCATGAATTATCTCCATGACGAGGCCCCCATGAAGATCATACATAGGGACCTCAAATCCAGGAATGGTAGGTGATGAATCTCTACAGTCATATAATATGGAACAGTTTCTGTCTGAACTCTGATGTCACATACACATTTTTTCCTTACTCAAATGATATTTTTGTTTCTAAATATACCAGGTAAATATGCTTTACTGTATTTAGACATGTTTGTACTATGTAACAAATTTTCTACTATGTCAGAATTTTCAAGAAAAGGATTAATTTACAATAACTCTATTTTTCACAGATTATTTTATCATGCAGTAACATAAGTGAATTTGTCGTTTATCCAATGTATCAGACAACAATGTAGGGGAGATAATTTGGATTTATTTTCTTGATGTTTCAGTTGTGATATCACACGATTGGATTTGTAAGGTAAGTTCTTGATGAAGGCATTGCACTTAATGCCACAATTATGTCAGATACACTTCAGAGAGCACTTTTTTTCAGTAAAGACAAAAAAAATCCTGTTTAAAAGCAATCAATTAAAACTTCACAATATTAAGAAACCATTTCATAAAATACAAATCTGACAGCTGTATTGTGGATTACATAGGAGATAAATTGATTCTTATGAGCCACTAACATTCTTTGTACCTTAAAATATAAACAATCTGATGTTTGCGCTTACCCTGCCTATTTTAGATTTCTGTGCCTACCCCTAAAGTTGTTATTGGCATTTAGTGATATGCACTGTTAAAGTCAGAAATCCTCTATATAAGTACAGTAAAAATATTTTCCAAAATGAAAAAATGCCTACCTATGCACCTTCCCTATTTTTTCTGAGGTTGATAGTGGAAACATTTTTTTTTTGCCAAATTGCAAATATCTGTACGATGACATTGACTCGTTTCTTCGATGCCAATTTTAGACATATTTCCAACCATAATTATCATTTTTCCCTCAGATCTGTGATTTTGGAGCCTCACGATTTATGGGAAGTACAACGAGAATGTCTCTGGCAGGCACTTTTCCCTGGATGGCACCAGAGGTACGTACAGACATTGTTTATGCATAAGTTTGCATGTGTTTTTGTCTCGCCGCCAAGAAGTGGAAGCGAGACTTATCTAGGTGTTGCTTTTCCGGCAATGGGGGCGACGATGTCAATTTTAAGTTTTTGTGTTTAAGTTAGTTTTTCAGAAAGTATATGTGCTTACTGCTTAAGGTTACAATTGTGAGATTAATACCAGATGAGCGATACAGGCCCATTGGGCCTCTTGTTAAACTGTATGGTTGTTCAGGATTTCTTCATAACTGATACAAAGAAAATTACTTCACTAAATTGTCCCTTTAAGAATGAGTCTTATACTGGGAGTATATGTTTAAAACATTTAGTCCCTTTTTACTAATTCCACTAGAGACAACTTGAACTAATATAACCTTCAACTCAACCAGGTAAAATATTGGATAATTGACTGGAAGGTCTGGGTAAGTCACCCGATGGAGATACTACCAGGCACGTAGCTGCCTATACTATATGCTGGTATTCAGTTAATTCCACCATATTATCAAACAGAAAAAAACCCACACACTGCTTGTTGTACCCTTTGTCCCCCTACCAAAGCCCTGCCCTGGACCAACTCCTAAATAATTCCACTCTGAACAAGGGCTACCTATGTACCTGATTTAAAATACTAAGGCTATTTCAGTATATACTTTCCATGTTTTAACTTGAATTTGTAAAACCAGTATAATTGTAAAACCAGTATAAAAATATATTTGCTGTGTGTGACATTTTAAACCTTTTTTGCAAAAAAAGAAAGTTTGAATGTAGATCCCTACTGTCATATTCAGACTTATAAACATTTCATTTTTTCTACAGGTTATACAAAGTTTACCTGTATCAGAATCCTGTGATACCTGGTCGTACGGCGTGGTAAGTACTGTATCAATGTCATAGAGTCCTCTGCGAAACTGAATTGGACTCCACAGCTGTTTCTACAGGCAGTCAAAGTAAAAAAAATATTATAGAATTTGTTTTCTCCTGTCAATGATACGTTTTGGTCATGTGCTTTGTACAAAAACTGTTAACCTGCTTATTTAGGAGCTCTTTGAGTTACTTTCCAATTTTGTAAGTGTAAGTGCTAGACCAACCAAACTGGGACCATAGATGCATCTTAGGTAGTACATCTCAACCCATGCATCAAATGCTGGATGCAGCATACCTTTCATGGTCCATTGACTTTGTCCGCATCTCCATCAACATTAAGTTTTTGCGTTTAAGTTAGTTTCTTGATTGTCAAAGCGGGGCAATGGTGAAATATATCAATCGGAATGGCTTGTGTAATTTGGAGTTAATGATAATACCACTGTTTTCTTGCATATCATAGATAACAGCAGCGCTACATCTTGCTGCATGTAACTTTATATTTGTCATCAAAGTCAAAAATGTTCGGATATTAAGTATATTTACAGTAACTTGCGACCAGGAACCATCAAGATGTATTTTATTTATAGGAAGTTGAAAATGTGTTTTATTAGACCCACTTCTGTTCCAGGTTCTGTGGGAGCTGCTCACGCATGAAGTGCCCTTTAAAGGGATAGAGGGCTTCCAAGTAGCCTGGTTAGTCGTCGAGAGGGGAGAGGTTAGTATCGTCAATTAGAAATTAAAAATGAGGAAGTATCATTGCTTAGGTATGTCATGGTCATTTGTGATTGGATGTAAAGCGATCTAAACTTAATTTACAGCTGAAGTAGGTCATGGTTGTTCTTAATGAAAATAAAGCGAGTTTTTTTATGTAGTATACTAAGAAATTTTCATTGCTGTTTAACTTCTGCCTTTTCATCCTCCATGATATTTGACAATTCTTCTAACAGAGAATATTAACAAACAGTATATAATAAGCTTAGCAGTCAGATGGGAAGACTAGAATTAACAGTGGGCAAATATGGATTGTTTACTGGATTAAGGTGAATGTTTGACTGAGAAAAGTTTCCCAGTACACAGTAACTGGATGAAGGGCAAAGTGTCTGATTTGGAAATATACAAAGTTAGTATGACTGAAATGTAGATTCTGATATCAATGAATAATTATCTCAAAAATTTAAATATCTTTGGAAACACAAATGTTCCAGAAGCCAGATTTTGGGGTTGTCAGGTTTTGATTAGATCTACCATGTACTCTAGTATGTGTCCTATCAATTATGTAAACATGTTTTCGTCTGTTTGTCTGACAGAGGTTGACAGTTCCAAGTTCTTGTCCAGCCACCTTTGCAAAACTGATGGAGGAGTGTTGGAACATAGAACCTAAACAGAGGCCAAGCTTTCGAGACATCTTGTCTCGACTCCACACAATGTTGAATGACGGTAAATATTATCAGGGATCAGTCGTGTGAATAAGATGTAGAAGCAAGTCTGGTCACAGTTCAAAGCAAGTCTGGTCACAGTTCAAAGCAAGTCTGGTTACAGTTTAAAGCAAGTCTGGTTATAGTTCAAAGCAAGTCTGGTCACAGTTCAAAGCAAGTCTGGTTACAGTTCAAAGCAAGTCTGGTCACAGTTCAAAGCAAGTCTGGTCACAGTTCAAAGCAAGTCTAGGACAGCATAATTCATTACCGAGGTCCATGAGCGAAACAAAGGGATAGTGCTTATTATTTGACATCAGAGATATTGTTGAAAAAGAGGATGAATTAAAAAACTACATAAAAACTGTTCTTTCAATATCAATCCAATCAGTGATGGAAATTGGTTTAAGAAAAAAGAAAGTAAATTGTAACCATGAAAAGGAAGATTTTCTGAGAGATGTAAAACAGTAGAAAATAAAAAAGGATTTCTAATTGCCTTCTTGGCATTATGAATGTTTCTGCAAGCAATTTGATAATTGGACAATAAGTCAATCTCGTGAGGAAAGGATTAACCTGGATTTATTCATTGTAGGAGATTTGAATATAAAAAACAATAAAAGAATAGGATATGCATAAAAATTTAAATAAAAGTGCATTAGCATATCCAGTTTCTTGAAATTTAAAATTCTGCATTTTAATTATGCCTATTTGTCATATGGACAGTTAGTTGAGGCTGCTGATTGAATAACATCACAGAATATATCTAGATACGCGTAACTACATGGTAAAAGCGGAATAATTGATGATGACATCACAACTGTATGACCTGAAGGCCAGAAAAAAGGATGGTAACAGCATTATAAGACCGGTAATTTTGTACCATTTATGAATGAATGCAGAATTTTTTCCTTCGCTTTCCAGAAACCTTACCAGAAGAAACTAACTCATTCCTTGACCACCGTGAGGTATGGAGGAAGGAAATCGAGGCCACCATTGACAGACTGAAGAAAGCCGAGCGTAACATAACTATAAAGGAACAGGAACTACGTCAGAGGGAAAACAAGTTAAAGGAGCGAGAGAAAAGTCTAGAACAGCAGTTCAAGGTTGTGGTAAGGATGGGGGACGTGTAGCTGAGACATTTCATTTACTATAAAGAAGTAGAGTGTCCTGAATTGGGGGCTGTTTATTTTTTGCAAACAAAGCATTTTGTCTCTTTATTTTGATATTCATGGATTAAACCTGATGGGCCTGCAATGTTAATACAGACCTTGAAAGTCTTTGTCAAGGCTCACCTTCTAAAAAGCAACTTCAGATCATCAGCCCCAATTTCCATCCTAGATATCCAGGGGTTACGCTCACATTCGCTATCTGCATCCCTGGGATATGTCATAGCAAAATTGAAGGTTCAGTGTGCGCCATGGCCACCTTGTTGATAAGACAAGAAGACTTGTACATCAAAGAATCTTGCGTTCACCTAACGGTAAAAATTGACAGGCTTTGAAGTCGGGTGTCTCTCCTTCGAAATCTTCAAAGGACAGGTATCAGACAGGCGATTGGTCTGGTTTTTTTAACCTGAGACCAATCAAACAGCTATCTTCGTGCCTTCAATTTTGCTATGACATATTCCAGGGGTGTATAGAACGAAAGTGAGCATAACCCCTGGATATCGAGGATGCCCCTATTTCATAAATGAACAAATCTGGTGCAAGTAGTCAAACTGTTGGTAATTAGTTCAATGAAAGCAGTTATGATACTGTGTTGGTAAGTTTGACTGTAAAAACAACATGTTCTATGTATTTGCTTCTATTGTGAAGACACACTGTATTTAGTTCATGGGTTCTAAATCTTAAACCATTTATGAAAAAAAAAAAAGAATTCATTACATGTCATTTCATGAATAAAGTGCTTGTTTTTCAGTCAACCTTTAAATATTGCTCGTTTAGGATGATAAGAAAATAGTAAGACATTTAAAACATTTATATTTTTGTAGAGAAGAAATAACCCAGATTTCTAAGACATTGTTAGTCTTGTATACTGTAACAATTTGTGTATATTTTTGTACGTAACTTGTTGTGTCAGAGTCTGTACTATTTCTATTTTATTTCCTGTAGAAACTGGATTCCTATGATGTTAACACATGGAGAGAGGTGGATGTGGTAAGTGATTTTTCGACTTAAGGATACATGTTAGCCTACTGTGAAAAGCATCCTCCTTTACAAAAGAGTTCTACATTGACACATGTAAAAACAATTTTTTTATTGATGGTCGGGTGGCGCAGTGGATAACCCACTCGCCTTTCATTAAGGCGGCCAGGGTTTGATTCTCCAATTGGATGTGAAAAGGTATGGGGTCATGATCACCTGCCCAACCACAAGGGTTTTCTCCGGGTTCTCTGGTCTCCTCCCATATAAAGACCCCTTGAGCACTAACATCCGGGCCAACGAGAGTGATTAATATAAGTTGTAATAGTTGTAATAATACATTTCTTAATTGGTGTAAAATAAAGAAACTTTATTTTTAATCCATGAATTAAAGATTGAATTAAATGTCAATTAATTGATGACATTTCAATTAAACACAATAATGCATGTATTTATATTATTAGGGAAGATCTTTGTTTGCAATTAGTCATGGCTTATTAAAGATATTCATTAAGTTAACTGTATCACAATTTGTAAGTGTAATATGTTTAAGTTAGCATGCACACGTCAGGATAGCATATAAATGATTTTGTGAAGAATTTTTCCACTTTTTATTATAACATGTTGAACTACTGAAAATAATTTGTCATTATTAGAGCTATTGACATAGTGGACAAATGATACCAGGATACAGTGGTAGATGTGAACTGATAAAAGATATGATTTAGATCTCGGAGTAGTTTAATGACTCAGTGGCGTAGCATACATGTATGCTTGTATGCTCAAGCATACACTAAAATTGTCAAGAAGATTTTTTTAATCTGATATTTTTATGAACGTCTAATGTATCAATCATAAAAAGGAAAAGAAATAAAAAAAGTCTTGAAAATTTTAGTCCAACGTAACATATTATAGACTCTATCTACCGTGTTGTTCTCGGATAATCGATTAAGGGCCTTTTAGTCATATTTTTAGCAAGTAAAACTTTTACTTGTTAATAATCAGACTAAAAGGTGTTCCCATGCCAGTACACGGGAGATTGCTTCTAGGGCCTGGTAGACTTTGTTTCCATCTATGTAAGCATACACTGCGAAAAATGATTTGCTACGCCACTGTGACTGGCTTTTGTGTTTCTTTGTTTCAGTATCAGTGGGTACGACAGCTACATAATGGTAAGTAAAAATCAACTATATCAAGGAAAATTCTAACAGAAACTTTTCAAAATGCTGAGTCTTAATTAAAATTGTCCTCTTAACAATCTTTGAAAATTGTCCCTTTATACACAACAAAAAAGATGAAACAACAGTTTACCTGTTTATTACAATTCGAGATATTTAAATGAGGCAGATATCAAGATAAAAGAAAATACAAACTTATACTTTGGCGTATCAGGGCTACTCACTCAACACAATAAGCTAACTATATACAATACTACAAAAACAACCATGTACTGACGAGGTAGCCTCCTAAGCAAAGAAAGAGGCCACAAGGAAAAACAAAAAATATATTCTCAGCAATATATTTTAAGTAGGCCACACAACTCTTGAGCGATTCAAGACAGGCCAAATGTAAATATCTAGTGAAAGTTCTTGAGCGATTCCAGACAGTATACATGTAGATATCTAGAGCAAACCCTTGAGCGATTCAAGAGCTCGTATAAGACAGAACGTTCTTGAGCGATTCAAGACAGTATACATGTAGATATCTAGAGCAAACCCTTGAGCGATTCAAGAGCAGAGAGCTTTTGCCTTGAGCGATTCAAGAGAGGCAAGCTGACCACCAGACTTAAGCGATTTAAGAGCTGGCAAGACGAAACTCCTGAGCGATTCAAGAGCCTAGTAGAATCAAGAATAGACAGAAAAATTAAAGCAAAAGCAGTAAAATAATCAACAGATAAGTAAATAATATTACAGAAAAGTATTGGGGGGAAAATTCCCCAGGAATTAAACCCAAATGGAACGAAACGAGGAATTGGAAATTACTACTATAACTATTAATCATAAGTGTTACACATGTGGATATCAGTTTCATCTTTCATATAATTGTGTTTTGTTTTAACTGTTCGTCCCCTACATTGAGGGTGTGACAGAGAAATCTCAAAACCAGAGGAGCATCCTCGATATCCAGGGGTTACGCTTACTTTCGCTCTCTATGTACACCCCTGGAATATGTCATAGCAAAATTGAAGGCACGAAGATAGCTATTTGATTGGTCTCAGATAAAAAAAACCTGACCAATCGCCTGGCTGATACCTGTCCTTTGAAGATTACAACGGAGAGACACCCGACTTCAAAGCTTGTCAAATTTCACCATTACGTGACCGCGAGATTAGTTTGATGTACATCAAAGGATCGAAGTAGTCTTCTTGTCTCATCAACAAGATGGCACACACCGAGCCTTCAATTTCGCTATGACATATTCCAGGGGTGTAGAGAGCAAAAGTGAGCGTAACCCCTGGATATCGAGGATCCCAGAGAGGAGAATTGTTAGGTTGTTTTACCTGAGGCACTTCCTAGGGTTGGACAACAAAATGACCCAGAGGGTAAGAGATATTTCTGTCACACCTTTACGATAAACTCTTTTTGAGGCCATTTGCAAATTAAGATAAAAACACACATTACTGAATGACAATTCTGATGACCAATGTTTTCAAATGTATAATTGACAGCATTTGATTAAAAGAAAAATACCATATGTTGAGGGTATGAAGGGAAATCTTAACACCTAGGGTGTGATTCTTAACCCTTTCACCACTGTAGACCATAATGGACTCATCCAGATCAATGCATGGTAGATTCTACTAAAGTTACATAGGGATGAAAGGGTTAAATGATAGGGAAAGATTCTTCATGGTGGGGAAAGATTCTCTTAACATTACTGTTTTACTAATGACCTTTTCTGGTGTTTTTCAAGGTCATACAAACGACTTGGCGATGTATGCAGACCTGTTCATCAACAATCACATCACTGGTCGACGCCTAATGATGATGACCCAGGCTGACCTCAAACACATGGGAATCACATCTGTGGGACACATCTTAGAACTGTTTGTATGTGTCACATTGAATCTTGTTTTATACTGTCTGCCTTTTTTTAAAACAGAGTTAAAAATGCAATTTTGGTCAGTTTCTGTTATTTAGGTATTTTGTCAAATCAGAAAAACGGATGTCAGGGTAGAATTTGCAGCCTCATAAAACACATACAAACTAAATTTTAGCAAAATCGAACAATATATAAATTTCGACCAGTAAACTCATGGAAGCCATCTTGCATCATGGTGGCCATCTTGGTTGACTTCTTCAGAAAATAAGGCATTGCATATTATCCCAAACGCCACCATAAAATAATAAATTATTGAACGTTGAAATCTTGACAAATATTTTATTTATGTGGGGATTTATTTGTACAAATTTACAAGTAATTACGTAGGAATTTTTTATTTGAAAATGCTGGTTTCTAATTGATGTGAACAGTTTATTTTACAAATGTTCAATATTTTCAGACTGAAATAGAATTACTGAAAGCACATAACCACAGACTTTTGAATTTCCCGCCACTGTCTACAGTAAGTATGGATTCTGTACGACTTTAGAATCACTAACTGTTATTATAAATGCTAAGTTTGTTTTGAACACAAACAATAATTGAAAAATTATTTTGCGAGATTTCAAAAAACGTCTGTTTCCTTTGTCGAGCAAAGAGTGTAAATGACTGGTGTCTTGACACTTAACCGCTGAAAACAAGTCACTAAGCCACAGTGGGCCGAATCAGTTAAGTCAGCTGTCAGAAAGCATAGAGACATTTTTGTGAAAAAGCACTTTAGAAATTTGATTTACCAGGTAAGTATGTTGATTACTCCATTTTTTTGGGCATTTTTTATTTAACCTATTAAGGTTTGTCTATATGTTTTTACCTGTCAGATTGTCCCGAGTAAAGAGGGAGCGACTTCCCCCGTCAACAGGAAGCTGACTGTCACATTTATATTCGGCCACCATCTTAGAAAAGGAGCATCTGAAAAGGTAGGAGATACTTTAAAACACATGCACAAAAATTGAATTTTTCTACACCTTTATCAGAATTGTACCTCTGGTATTACAAACCATGCTGTAACATTCAAGTGAGGTGGCACTATAAATGATACTGTTGGAAGCACAGTCCCACTACAAACAGAACACATCACATCTCAAGCACACACGCAGGCATACACACATAGGGAGATATTAGCCAGGTGGCATAGGACTAGTAGTTAGCGCCTGATAAGGCAGCTCCTGCTAATTCCTGAAATTGTATTATTAATGTATATGCTAATTGTATTAATTGTGTATCTATGTACTGTAAAGCACTTTAGAGTGGCTTATGTTAGCTAGATAGGGTGCTATATCAAATGTTGTATATTATTTCATTTATCAGTAGTACATCTGGTATTATTAGCCACACAGGATATATTTTCAATGTCTGTTTGGCATTACTAACTGCAAGAGATGTATTTCAGGTCCATCTGGTATTACTCTTCACAGAAGATGTATTATGTGTCTGTCTGGTCTTATCAGTCACAAGAGATATTTTCAACGTCCGTCTGGCATATTTTACGACAGAAAAATGCATGTCATGACTATAAAATTGGGTAGCCAATAGGGCCACCACAGGTGAACTTTACATAGACATCGACATATACAAGTTTTTTTGCGGCCACAGGCTACCGGGCCACTGTTACTTTAGAACACTGTAATTGACTGCAAGAGATGTATTTCATGTCCATCTGGTATTACTAATCACAAGAGATGGATTTTAAACTATGTCTTGTGTATGTCCTATTTCATAAATGTCTGTGGGTGTGTCCATATCTGTTTAAGTACTAGACTGGACACCAGCCGACTGACCAATTGACGTGTGACCTCACTGCACGGTCATTATTTTTCTGACGTCCTGCAGTAGATATGCGTACCGTACATCTCTGTTAATATACTACACAAGCTGTGAAGCTACGTGCTGTTTGAGTTTGGAGACAGCTGATCTACTTGATCACCAGTAACCATGTATACATGTAAAACACATCGCTTCCGTTCTGTTTATATATTCCGATGTGTGCCGTATATGAGTTGTTTTCATGTCATCACAAAGTAAGGAAAGAAACCCTTATCTCTATGGGGTGTGTAAGGTTAATTCCACAACCCAAGGCTAAATCTACATTTGCAGTAGGAAGGTTTACTGAGAGTTACCTCCCTTCGTACCTTACCCAATCAGCATTGACATTTGATAGCAGTTATGATATATTTCACATAAGCCACTCAACGTTTCATGACAGTTTTAAGTATTTCGTGTGTGTTTTTTTTCTGTTGTAAATCTTGTTATCATATTTGAGGTGAACTTCGGTTGTCATGCGTCCCAGCAGTGGCGTAATTACAGAAGTATTTCATTTCCCAAAGTTCGGTAGAACACAGGATCATATAACCAAATAAAACAGACATCCAAGAGGAGAGAAACCACAGAAAAAATATTAACTATGAAACTTAGTACAGTTAAGTCAAGATGTCATATTTTGTGTTTTTTTTTATCAAGGTTTGTCAGTCTTAAGAAAATCTAAAAACTTCAATATAACTTTTCACAACACATGTGTCTTCTGTCAAAATTTTAGCATGAAAAGAACTTTTAACATTTAAATGTTATAAAAGACTTACAATTTGCTGACACACATATTGGCACACAACAAATGTTTGAGCTTACTTTTGAGTTTGAAAAAAACAACTACTGGTATGTAGTGTTGTTGTATACATGTATATAGAATCTTACTTGAGTTTCCATTTCATATGAGATTTATGAAATGAGTCTAATAATTTTTCAATCTAGTGAGCTAAAATGAAAAATTTGGGACGAGTTTCATAAATTTCACATGAAATGGAAACTCAAGTAAGATCCTTTCTATCACATAATCAAGATTTGTGGCATTTATTTGTGTAAAACGACAATTTTCATGCAACCTTGAAATGTAAAAAGCCGCCATTTTGACTCCAGTGGGTAAGTATATAGAATTATTACAAGTGACTTAATACTGTCATATAAGTTTTTCCTGTATGCCTGTATACACGAACATGCATGGCCACTGTCGAGAACATGGGAATGATACAAATGAGTTGATTATAATAGTCATAAAGTACTGTATAGTTGTTTGTTTCTGTAGGTTTAAAATTTCACAATTTTGTTATCCCATCATCATTTCTGTAAGTTTGTTTCGGAACACCTAACAAATTGTTCCGAGTGCTAATTGAATTTAGTTTTATGTCCTCTGTTGAGTTATTGTCATCAAATTTAGAGCCTTGTGAACTTAAAGATATGTTCTGGTAACATAATTCAATATAGTCTTTTGCTGAGGTCGATACTTGGATTTATCGACCCAAGAAATCCAGGTATAGACCGAAGTTAAAGGTTACAATTGTTTTATTATTTTCAAAACAATGATGTAAGCAATCTGGGGAAAAAAACACAACAAAAAAACTGCGGAAGTGGGATGGTGCGTTTGTTTGGAGACACGTCGTAATTCTATTTTTAGAAACACCCAGTCCTTCAACAAAATTCACGCACTCCAAGTATATATCTGTTTTTATCGGACACGTGATGCACTCCCGGCCAATCACTTGTCCGGAACAATATGGAAAAATTATAATCTAAAACATTCAAACAAATTTTCAAACATCATTACCCTTTATGAACAGTCACAAACGTGCACGCTATTTCAGGACGACTTTACTGTCATGAAGATCATTATAGCAGCTCATATTTATGCTTGTTATATTATTCTGTGGATTATATTTTTGAGGTCATGTTTTTGACTGCAAAAATCACGAAAATATTTTCCCTGCGGGAATAAGCTGCTATATGACATTTGATTCAGTATTTTGTGGGTATACCATAATGCCACTGCGACTATCATTTGTGAAATCTGATTAAATGGGGGTGGTCTTGTGTAACGGAGCAGGGTTTTATCACTGGTAAGATACAGAACATGTCAAGGTGTTGATCAATTCGCTACATTGACAGAATGATACGATATTGTCCTGCTGACATAGGTTAGTATCAGAAACATCTATAATCACATGAAAGAGTTACACTAAATACAGGATGAGTTAAGACTAAAAGTTGAAAATGAATGTGATACGACCTTGACTTTACTGTTCCCATTGCAATGGCGGACCACCACACCTGGAGAACTGGAACAATTCTTCCTGTAAGACAAGTGAATTGTGGACGACTTTTACACGAACATCTGTGTTCAGGTGTGTCTCGCCTGGCTATCTTTATACTATGTGTAACACTGTACATATTACATAGTATCAAGCTAACAATGCTGATCTGGCTGTGTGATTTAGTGTTATAGTACATGCTGTAGTGTCTCGCCTGGTCATCTTTATACTATATGTAACTCTGTACCTATTACATAATATCAAGCTAACAAAGCTGATCTGGCTGTGTGATTTAGTGTAATAGTACATGCTGTAGTGCTGGCTAGAGATTATTGTACATTCTGACATGCCAGGATGTCTACCCTACATGTTCGTAGAAATCTCCTTGGCCCCGTTTCATGTTTCCGTGTCCCTATGCCGTTTATCCGTGTTGACAGATCTGGAATGAATGACGATAGTCCTGAACTACTAGTATGTTCGACTACTACTGCTGTAGCTAAATATGCAAAGAACATATATCTCTACATTATAAGTTTTATGTACCCCACCCCCCTCTAAATCTGTTGTCATATACCATTATGTAATATTTTTTTGGCTAAACTATTACAACCAACATTAAAGAAATCAAATGATAAAGTCATAATATAATAAGGTCATACAGCGCCACACAGTAGTCATTAACAGCTCATCAGTGCAATAAGTTTATAATGGGCTACACAATAGTCTTAATGGGCCATTAACACAATAAGGTCATACAGGGCCACACAGTAGTCTTAACGACCCATCAACACAATAAGGTCATACAGGACCACACAGTAGTCTTAATAACCCATCAACACAATAAGGTCATACAGGGCCACACAGTAATCTTAACCACCCATCAACACAATAAGGTCATACAGGGCCACACAATAGTCTTAATAACCCATCAACACAATAAGGTCATACAGGACCACACAGTAGTCTTAATAACCCATCAATGCAATAAGGTCATACAGGGCCTTACAGCAGTCTCAATTATCCATCAACACAATAAGGTCATACAGGGCCACACAGTAGTGTTAACGACCCATCAACACAATAAGGTCATACATACTCAATTCAAAAATTTGCAATTATAAAATACTCTGTAATTGTAGAGCTGTGAAAGAAATGGAGGTGTAACAATTTACTGATGCGTCGGTGAATCGTATCATATCTTAAGTAATTTTGCATCGTGGCATTCTCTGATAGTATTGAGAAAAAACAGTTATGTAGGGGTTACCACACTTTACAGTGGTTATTATCCAATTGCACAAAATTAATTTCGGTATGTATTTCTTCCTGTTGTAAAATTAAACAGCTATACAGTTTAGGAGATATGTCACTTAAAAAAAACCAAATTAAATCCTTAAGGAATACAAACACTAGATTTGTTTCATATCAAGGAAAACTAGGGTAACAGGTTTGTAAAGAAAGTTGCGACAAGTATCACGATACGTACAATCGTATCATGATACGTATCAGTATCACATCGTCACAACCCTTCAGCACTTGAATGAAAGTGGTGTTGTATTGCATTTGTCCTAAATGTGAGACTGACACACAAGATGACCTTTACACACAGACCTTTCCTGGCAGAGTTCCTTCCCTTGTCAGTGTGTGTTACTACCAGTTGTTTGTGTTGTGTCCATTGAGAGAACTTGGTTGATTGTACAGGCGTGTATTGTACCAGTAGTTTGACCTCGACGTTGGAACATGTAGCCCATAAATACCATAGTACATACTGACATGCTCACAATAGCTAACCGTGTTGATGGTGTCGGTATTACTTCCTTCTCTTCATTTAATTTGATGTCAAT